TATCTCTTTCTTTATTTATTTATTAATTTATTTTTTAACAATTACCCGATAAAATATAGATTTTTTGTTTCGTAATCTTTCTCTCTTCTTCTTCTTCTCCTTTTTTTTTTTTTTTTCCTTTTTGTTTACTTTTTTCCTTCGTCTCGTTATTTCGACTACACAATTCTTTTTTTTTTTTTTTCTTTTGCTTCATTTTTTATTTATTTATTTATTTGTTTCTTCAAGACACTCGCGGTTAAAAATGAGGGGGGAGGGGGAGGATCGACGATTGTTCATTACGTCGATTGTAAACGCTTTTACACACACATTTTTTTTGTGGTGTAGTATATATATATATGTATGTATATATATACTACATAGGTATATATATATATACCTTCCTCGCTTTTTAAGACTAATACTGTAAAATAATAATTAGAAATTTAGAAACAATCGTATCTTTTTTTCTTTTTTTTTTTTTTCTTTCTTTCTTTCATTCACAACCATTTTATTTTTGTTTCTTAAAAAAGAGAGAATAAAATCGAATCTAACATTCTAAAAAGTAATTACATTTTGAAAATGGAACGCGATTATTTTTAAGGCATTTTCTTTCTTTCTTTTCTTTTCTTTTCTTTTTTTTCTTTCTTTTTTGTAAATTACAGTACTTGTCTTGTTTTTTTTTTTTTTTTCGTGAGGAGAAATTTTAGTCATAGAAACGATGATTATAATATTTTATCGACGTTTCACGAGGAGCAAAATCTCGTCGTGATAAGGAAGGGATAATATAATAATGATATTATTCTCGCTAATAAGATAGTTTTTTTTTCTTTCTAATAATCGATAAAATGTGATAAAAAGAAATAGAAAAAAAAAGAGAAAGAAAGAAAAATAAAATATAGCGATAATATGATAAAAGAAAACAATTAATTACAAATTAAAACGAACGATAAAAATGAACGAAATAACAGCTAAGGCCCAGTAGTGGCATTAACGTATTTAATAGTGATTTATTATCACGCAATATATAGAATTTTAGCCGTTCCGCTTTTACAAACGCTTAGCGATTACTATTCCTCCTCTTGAGAAGAAGAGCAGGCTTAGATTTTTTTTTCTCTCTCTTATTGTATATTTTTGTCCCTTTTTTTCCTAATTTTTGTTTTTTTTTCTCTTTTTTAAAATTTTATATTCAGACGAAAATTTTCGTTACTGCGCCTAACTCTTTTTTCGTAAAATGATCGCCGAGCGTATATAAACCCGTTTAATATCGTTTAACGTATTTTTATAAACATATTTCTATTTATATATACAAATAATAATAATAATAATAATAATAATAATAATAATAAAAATAATAGTAATAATAATAATAATA